GGCCCCCCATTTAGTGCTAAAACAGTGTTCGACCCCATAGAGGGCCGAAGGGGGCGCTACATAAAATTGGAGGCACCGCTGGGATTTGCGTTGCAATCATTTAAATTAACTGATTAATTAGGTGCGGTCTTGTTCTTCTGTTTTAGAAAAATACCAGGAGTTTATTAGATGGAGCCCCAGTTATATTCAAAGTTTCAGGGCGAGCTTGTTCGTTGGTGTCAGGGGGAAGGTCTTGAGGCCAACCATGCCTTCTTAGTGGTTGGAGTGGATGCGGAAGTTACCGGTCGGCAAATTGAAGATGTTCTTCAGGCCGTTCAGGGTTGTGGACGTGTGAGGATGAGGGGTAAGACGTACAGTAGAGAGGCCGATGGCCTGATAGTCCTGTGCGAATGCTCGGAGGAGATAGACCTCTCGACTGCCCCCCGGGAAGTTAAATATATTGATGGAGCCCAAGTGTGGAAAATTGTAGTAGCTAGCCAGGCTCCTACGGCTCCAATTGGGTTCACGGAAAAATTAAAGGACCTTTTAATGACTGAAGGGAAAACAGTGGCTGATTTACGGAGCTATTGTGCTGCCGTTAGTTCGAAACGGGATAGTGAGGAGCCATTTTTTGAAATGATGGGAGAGTTGTTGAAGCAGGTTTATAAGGGTCAGTCTGAGAGTCAGGGTTATCGCCGCCTCAGGGTTTTTTCCGGCATCACTCCCACTCCTGCAGGGGAGGAACCCTTGGAGTATTGGCTGGAACAGGCCACTTTAATGGTAGAGGAGAGTGATTGTCCTGATAGAGAGAAGAGACGTAGAATACTGGAAAGTTTGAGGGGCCCTGCTTTAGAGATTATCAGGGTCTTGAGATTCAGTAAACCCGAAGCCAAGCCTGAAGAATACCTGGAAGCTATAAACAGTGCCTTTGGGTCACCAGAAACTGGTGAGGATTTGTATTTTTCGTTCCATCTTATGCAACAAAAATCTGGTGAGAAATTATCGGATTACCTTAGGAGACTGGAACCCCTCTTGGCTAAAGTGGTAAAGAAAGGGGGAGTATCGGTAAGGGATATGGATAGGGTAAGGGTAGAGCAGTTACTCAGAGGAGCAGTGGGCTCTGACTTGCTGTTATTACAATTGCGCCTCAAAGAGAGGAGGAATAACCCA